ACACCCGTCTATCATTATTCTCCTCAAACGCGCGGGATGAGACGCTGCTACAGTAAATGAATTACAATGTTTCCTGCTGGGAAAAACGTTTTCTTATCTGGAAATTTCACAGTTATTCTGTTTTCAAAGAGGATAAAGGAAATAACATAGTTGTACAGCGTAAGCTATGCATGAAGACTCAACCAACTTGAACATTTGCAGGTACGACTAGCATGGAAATCATCATGTTAGCTCAAATTTAGAGTTTGTTAGTGATTTCAAATTCCATGGTGTGCATGAATGCAGTTGTAAGTTTTCTAGTGGAAAATGAGCTGAAAAATTAACACGAGAGTCCCCACACCCCGGATCAGTCACTGAAATAAAGAAAGATCATAGCATTTCACTTATATTTCGACATGTAGGTTTATTTTAAAATAGACTAAAATGAACATGGTGTAATTTTTTTTTTATATTCTGCATGAACTATATATTTTTTTTCTTGTACGTTAAAGAAAAAAAATAAATAAATAAATAAAACTGTAATACTAAACTGTATAGCCACTAGATGTCGTCCCCACACCCCGGATCAGTCACTGAAATAAAGAAAGATCATAGCATTTCACTTATATTTCGACATGTAGGTTTATTTTAAAATAGACTAAAATGAACATGGTGTAATTTTTTTTTTATATTCTGCATGAACTATATTTTTTTTTTCTTGTACGTTAAAGAAAATAAATTCCTACTATATACGACACATCTATATGATTTTTATGTTTTTACCAATTATAATATTTCATAAATTGTGAAACTCTTTACACTAATTGTTTAGCAATTAAATAAAAAATTCACAGTTAAGAGTTGGTCACACGGTCTATATGGATTAAACATTTTCAAAGCAATACTTATCTTATTTCATGTGGCTGTTTTTATCAAATTAGCTTATTACATAGTCACTTTAATTAAGAGGTAAACTACTAAAAGTAAAATTATCGGTATCTCTCAAAACAAGCAATTATTGTTACCGACCCAGAAATATTGGTGACTCTCTAATAAGATAGAGTAACTTTGAATGCAGCAGGAATCTTTTTTTTCTTTAATAAATATTAAGTTTCTTGTGATTGAAAGTAGTACAAAATTGTAGTCTTTTTTTATTATTATTTATGTTGTGTCATGCTGGGCAATCCTGCTTACAGCTAAATCTGTTGGGTGAGTTGGTGAGTCTCCATTGCTTATTTTTTACTGTAAAAAAAGCATTATGAAATCTTCTATAAATACATGACTTATATAGCTACGTTATATGTACATATTAAAAAAAAACAATGCCCATTGGCAGCCATGCAAGCCACATGCTATTTAGCCTAAGCTCTGATGAACACAACAAGAGCTGAGCAGAAGTTTAGCCCCTGACAATCCACCTAAAGACTGAAGTGACTAAATCTAAGAACCGTATTTCAGAACACACCAAGCTGAAACTGACTCCAGCAACTAGGCCAACACCACCTTGTGACACAGTTTCAAAAATACTGACTCCATTTCATCAAAACAGGCCACAGCAAAATTTAATCAACTGTCCTATGCAATGCCCCCTTTCAAACTACTACAAAAAACATCTGCATAAAAAATATGACCGATATGAGTTTTTTGGGGCCGATGCCGATACCGATATTAGGGACAGAGTCAAAAGTTTGGACACACTTCCTATTCGTGTGTCCATAACTTTTGACTGGTACTGTATATAGAATACAATATACACATAAACAGAATATTTATACATAAACACATTTTTTGCAATAACTCAAATGTGATGATCAAACTTGTGTGTCACTATGTGACAAATAGGCCTATGTAACGGAAGCAGGGTATTAAACAATTTAACAATAAACTTTATTATTTAAAATGAGTCTGACATCAGTGCACTTAACAGTAAACTTCACTTATTATAAATAACTTAAAAAAACACAAATAGAACAAAATATATATAACTTCAATTAAGAAAATAAACAAGGTAACTGTGTAGGGCAAACAAGCTATACTGCCAAACCAACAGGGTCAGGTTTATGCAGGAAGTCCAGCTTGTCCAAATGTAAACATATATATAATTTTAATATTATAATTTTATAATGCAATATAAAAATTATATAATACATTTTTTTTCTCACAAATTCTGTGTTGTGTATTTTCTGGTAATCAAAGGAACATGCAGAACATGAGAATTCATATTTAAAATAATTTTTTTGTAGTTTAATATTCAGACACTAGTCTATATTGCGATTTGATTTAAGTTTACTGACCTGTTTTTGTATTTATTTATCAAAAATAAGACAAATTCCATGAAATTCCACGTTATACATTACATTCCGTTTTTATGAATGGATTCACAAGGAAATCAGAGGGCCCTACTAATGTAGCAAATGAATATGATAAGCTCATTGTGAGAGTAAAAGATGGGGACATTGTTGTTTATTTACATAGCATTGAGTCTCTCCAACTAGGTGACAACGTAGCGTTAAATCACCACTCAACAGACTCAAGCCACCACCGCACCACCGTCTATTGGACTGCAGAAAGACACTAACTTTTCAATCTGCTACATTACTGAGTCTGACAAACTATGCTGACACCGTGTCTGTGCCACAACAGGACGCGACAAAGCGACCGTTGAAAATCATTTGAACTTTGTGTCAGCACGTCAAATAGAACGAGGCATCAGTTTACGGCATCCAGTGTTGACAACATCACTGATTATAATGGGTTCTATTCTACACCGGACGCGAGCGGCGCGACAAAATACAATAGAAATTCTATTGTATTTTGTCGCGCCGCGCAATGTGAGGTGACCGATGTGATAAGCATGAGTTCTGGGCCGCAGCTGTGCGATCAACCGGTATAAACACCAGCATTGACTGAGTGGCCGCGATCAGCTCCGGTGGCCGTAACACATGATTTAATGCGCCGCAGATGCGTGCCGTGAAGCGCAGATCAGCTCTAGTCTCTAACGTCACTGAATCTGCTGTTAAAAATGAACCATCCATACATCAAATCATCATGCAAAACGAAGAATTAGAATCATTGTAATGTGACGATTTGAAGCAGCGGACTTGGGAGAAGTGGCGGATAATTTGAAGCAGCGGACTTGGGAGAAGTTTGAGCTCATCCGCGCATCACTACACTGACCTGGGTCGCCAGTAGCAAACAATGGAGACAAACTAAGTAATTACATCATTCAGAAGCATTTAATCTGCGTTATATGTTCTATAAAAAAAAAATTCATATCGGCGGCATATTCGCTGATACGATATATCTGCGACAGGCTCATATCTGCCGATAATATCGGCAAAACGATATATCGGTCGGGCTCTAATAAAAGATTTTTTAAAAGATTTTAAAAAGGAATAAACTGTTGTCTTTGAAAAATTGCTTATGTTTGTCTTTTGTGAGTCACTTTGAATAAAAGCATCTACATACATGTAAAGGTAGTGGCACTATGTATAATCATAACATTCAATAAATATGTCACAAATTGATCAATATAGGGTTGTTTTACTGAAGTGAAAACCTGTGTGTTGAAACAATTAAAATAATTAAATAGTATGTTCAAATATTAAGTGGACGTCTCTTTTACTAACTTGTCATTCATGCTTAGCATTTCATAATTTCTACTTAGCCAGCTGTGTCTCTCATTATTTCAGATTGTACGCCAGATGAGTATCCCATCATTTCAACATACAAAATTGAAACAATGAAATATTGTCTTGAAATAAGACACCAAGTTGTCTTACTGTGTTGAAACAAAGGAAAAGTCTAAATAACTAGATACAAAGTAAACTTACTAAGTTGACAATGACATAAACTACTTTTGTCAAAAAGACAAGAACATTTTATATTAAAACCAGTAACTTTTGACATTTTATTTTTCAAAAGATTTGAAATAACTAAGTACTTACTAAAAATACAAAGAAATATGAAGTGAATTCACTAAGTTGCCATGAAACACTTTCAAGATATAGTCGATTTACTAAGACGAAACATTAAAATACTACATCAAAAATAAGATACGAAGTTGACTTACCTTTACTGTATGTAAATTAATTACTAAGTTGAAATGACAAGATATTAATTTGACTTACTGAGCTGAAATAATTTACCTTGTTGAAATAAGACACTGTCAACTTCCTAAGAAAACTAGCACAACACTAAGTTGAGACAGCAATGTATCAAGTCTACAAAAATATCAAGTTGTCTTGCTAAGTTGAATTAATGAGATATTAAGTCAATTTACTTAATTTTGATAACAGAATACTAAGTAGAATTCTGAAGACCTGAACACTAAAATTAATTTACAACAAGATAGGAAGGAAGCAGATATAGAGCACTGAGAATAAATCATGACAGCCCAAAAAATGTATGTGTATTATTCCAATAAGGCCGAACAAAACTGCATAGCTCAAAAGCTTCTACTACACTCTTGCTCAACTTCTGACCTAATTAATTTAAAATATAACAAATGGCCAACCATGTTGAAATTTAGGTTACCTACACCACAAGGTCAGCAGAGAATACATGATTTACTGGGTGAACAAGTGCAAAGCACATTCATTATTCGTGCAGGAATGGCAAGTGCAAATAAAACGGTGAAAAACACAAAATATGAAGGCAATTCAGCAGCGTAAACAATGTAAAGAATGAATATAAATCATTCTGACTGAAAATCTGATTTCATTACCTGAAGGCAAGAAATGACAAAGTGTAACTGAAGCAAAGCGAATAAAGAAAGGGGGAAAAAATGCTGAGACACTGTAAGCAATGTTGCCCATTTTCCCATGATCCTCTAAGGCCTGGTGCAGATGGTAAGAAGAGGGGTGGGAGGAGATGTTATTGTACACCAGAGCCCATAATTCAGATTTAATAGTGGTGAATACTGTAAGCTTCATCATCCTCATTCCCCCGTGCATGAGTGAGTGAGTGAGTTATTCTCTGGCCCTGGTACTGTACCGTCCTGCTGCTGCTGCTGCTGGAGCTCCTGCCCCTGCCTGTGCCTCTGCTGCAGGCTTTTACGTTTGACGTAATCATGGTCGACCGGAGTGACCACGTACGGGGGAGAACTCGCACCTGCCGCACCGTCGCCAGGCAAAGAAGTTGTTGGAGCCACCACAGATGTGACAGATGAGGTGGTCAACGCTTGCGGACAGGTACTCACGCCAGCCGAGGAGCGGGAGTCTTCATCATTAATGGATGGAAGCTTTTCCCTGTTGGGAGAAAAAAAATTATGCTAACAAAACAAAAACACGGAAAGATTCTATTAAATGTAGGGTTCTTTTAACATCGTTGCTCTCACGTCAACACAACACACATCGTGGTGCTTTTGTGAAGGTGCATCTGAGATCAACTTGGAAGTGAAGAAACTGTTTAATAAAGTAGTTATTTTAGTGCACAAAAAGCATTGCCATCGCCTCATTAAACAAAGGCTGAACCATTGGAGTCACATGGACTACTTCAAAGATGTATTTACTGCATTTCTGGGCTTTGACTAGTAGTTGTGTGGGATGTAATGGAGGGACAGAAACCTCTCAGATTTCATTACAAATATCGTCATCAAAACTCTGCACTTAGCAATCTAATCAAGTGAGGAAGCTGCCTTAAAGTCTGTCTAAAATGAGTGCTGGGTTAACTTTAAGCTTGCTACTAATCTTGTGCAAGACTACAGTGTGTAGTATCAGCAATGGCAATGCAGTCTCCTCTTTTTAAAGGTTTGTTGATATACAGCTGTAATCAATTGAAATCAGAATCTTAGTCTATGTTAGACAATTTTAGGCCCTCCAAGCTTAAAGCTTAAAAGGTTTGTGGCCATACTTGTTATTGCTGTTTTTGGCCGTGGTCTTCTCCTCTCCGCGTGCAAAGGGTCCGACGGCAGCTTCGGCGAGCATGTTGAAGAACAGCTCATAATCCAGAAGCTTCATTTGCTGCTCAGACTGTTCACCATCATCTTCCTCATTCTCCAGCAACTTCAGAATGGTGGCGCTCAGGCGGAAAAACAGCTGGCCGAAGTAAGAGAAGAGATATATTTCCGGAAGAATTAAAATGCAACTTGTGTTTGATTGTTTTTTCATAGTACAGGAGCACTTGCAATACATTTGCATTACACTACTATTCAACAGTTTGAGGTCACTGAAGAAAAGAAATTTTAATTTAAAAAACAATTTTAGAAAAAAGAAATGTAGAAAGAAATTAATACTTTTATTCAGCAAGGACGCATTAAATTGATCAACGTAACGATTTTTACATTGATACAAATTTCTATTTTGAATTAATGCTGTTCTTTTGAACTCACTATTCATCAAAGAATCGTAAAAAAAAAAAAAAAACCTTTCACAAAAATTTGAAGCAGCACATCTGTTTTCAACATTGATAATAATAAGAAATGTTTCTTGAGCAGCAAATCAGCATATTAGAATGATTTCTAGTGAAGTAATGACTGGAGAAATGATGCTGAAAATTCAGTATTGCATCACAGGAATGAATTTCATTTTAAAATATATTAAAATAGAAAATTTCCAATTGTAATAATATTTGACAATATTGCTGTTTTAATGTATATTTGATCAAATAAATGCAACCTTGTTGAAAGCAGCACATCTGTTTTCAACATTGATAATAATAAGAAATGTTTCTTGAGCAGCAAATCAGCATATTAGAATGATTTCTAGTGAAGTAATGACTGGAGAAATGACGCTGAAAATTCAGTATTGCATCACAGGAATGAATTTAATTTTAAAATATATTAAAATAGAAAATTTCCAATTGTAATAATATTTGACAATATTGCTGTTTTAATGTATATTTGATCAAATAAATGCAACCTTGTTGAGCATAAGGCTCTTCTTTTAAAAATATCAAAATTGTACCAACCCCCATCTTTTGAATGCTAGTGTACATTGTGTACACAGTGTAAATGAGCCCTATTCCACTACATACCTCTAAGGCCTCCATGGCGAGGTCCGGTGGGTTGTGGTAGTGGATTTTGCGTGGGTATCTGGCTGCCTCCTCATGCAGGTAGTGTGCAGACTGGAGAGAGATGGCACAAGGGCTGTAATGAGATGCGTGTCTGACTGTTGGGCGGTCAGCAGCCACTTTCACACTCAAAACCCTAGCAACGGCTTTACATATTTCACACAATTTTATCCACAAGGAACTAACTGAACGGTGAAAAGTAGGCATTTCATACCAGAACAGAGTCAGACCTGAAGGTGAGTTTGCAGTCAAGTGACTGAAAGTACACTTATGTCAGAGTGTCCTAATCATTCTCAAACTGTATCACTGAACTGTTGGCGTGTTCGATTTACATGTTTTCACACCTGGCTGATTTAGAGCATTTGTTCAGGAACCTGGCTAGTTTTTTCTTTAGTTCAGATCATTTAGGCAGTGTTGGGGAAAGTTATAAAAGTAATGCATTACAATATTGCATTACTCCATAAAAAAAGTAACTAATTACATTACTTTTGCGCTACTTTTTAAATCTGGACAGGGCTTGCTTGTTTGTTTTTAAAATAAAAAAGTTATATTTTTGGCAAATATAAAAGCCTTTTCACACCAAAAGTGAAAGGAATAAGCCTCAGGCTGAAGGGAAAGTAAATTTACGTCCGTACAGTAGAACACAGAAGAAGACATTTCAACACACATAATTTTAGAGTAATTTTTGCTTATTAGTACGGTTGAACTGAATCATCGAAGGGTCAGAAGTAAAGACATTGGTTAAAAGAATGGGATTAAATACATAAAGGATATTTGTGTTGTTTAACATTTAATTATTGCAGGTTTGCGTCATATTCTGAGTTGCATTATTTTTGTGTTTTTTTTTTTTGTGAGTGAGATGAATTAATGCATATTCATATTTATTTTAGAACTACAGTAACATCTTCTGATTTCTCTCAACATGGGGACAGGAGAGCTGTCAATCAATAAATTGAAAAAAAAGTAACTTATTTGAAAAAGTAACTCAGATATTCTCTTGTAAATTAAAAAGTAATGCGTTACTTTACTAGTTACTTGAAAAAAGTAATCTGATTACGTAACTTGCGTTACTTGTAATATATTACCCCCAACACTGCATTTAGGCATATATAAACAAGGCAATCGTGCTCGGATCCACGCCACGTCTGATATTACCTGAATAAGTTGCTGTCAGCCTAATTAACAGAGAACTCTGGAGCTCTGAATATATATATATTTAATCAGGTGGAGCAGGAATGAGGGCTTAGATATCGTATAAGTGTGCGTGTTAACAAAAGATTCAGTTATAGCCACAAATAAGCCCATGGAGCTAACTTGAGTCAAATCCCAGAACATAAAGAGATGCACTCTGACCAATGAGAGGATAGTTCCGTTTTTAGTTGAAAACAATGTCATGTAAACACCCCCTCACATGTGGCACATTATGGTACGCTTTGATCCAAACTGACTTAATTAAACTTACTCAACTTTCTTAACTAAATATTGACACTATTGTCTTTAAGAGCTCTTTTACAGCAGAATTTGAATAATCTTCATAGCTGCATTTCCATAACTGATTCCGCTGTTTTCCTGTTTATCTCTATCTCTGTGAAGCTGCTTTGACACAATCTGTACTGCATAAAGCACTATAGAAATAAATGTGACTTGAATTAACTTGAAGCTAAACAAACCAAATTAAGCTCCTGTTTTAGAACAAAGCAAACAACCTACAGGTCTGAAAATGCTACTAAACAAGCCTAGTGATGGATGTCACACATTCTCAATAGCCAATCAGATTATCCACCAGGCCAGCTGTAGCCTAGCTCGTCACCATTTTGTACAGCTGCAGGTAGTCTTTGGGCGGCCGTTTGCGCTTCTCAGCAATCTTCCCCAGCATGTAGTGAATGAGCCACTCCTCCTCATCGCCGTCACAGCGAGAGGCGCTCTGAAAACACTGCGACGCCGTCTCCAACATCGAGTCTCTGCGCTCTTCCATCTTTAAACACAAACAAACAGCAGCTGACACAAATCCTGAAACACAGAGTCTCTTATTTCGAGTTTAACACACACTCATGGCTCTCTCGCTCTCAGATGAGTCTTCATCTTCACAAACAGAAGTACCTGTTTGATCAAGTCAGGAGGAAGTTCGTGTTTCCATTGTTTGAGCTGTCTGGAAGCGAAGGAGTGAAAGGCATAGGACATGGTACCATACTCGATCCATAGGGAGAGGTTGGAGCTGTCTATCTCCAGAGCCCGTTTGAAACAGGTCAGCACAGCCAGAGAGTTTTTCCAGATGGGTCCGTCACTCCTGAGCTCATTGGAGTTCAGCTTGTCCTGGATGCGACTGGCGCGTGCCAGTGCCATGCCTGCCCACGAATCAAACCTGGAGAGACAACAGTCACCTACAGCTGAATACATTGAAGGTAAAAACTTCAAACGTAAAACTGTCACAGACCTGTTGGGACACATGCAGATGTCGTGCATGTAGAACTTGATGGCTTTCGACTGCTCTTTGTTTTTGAAGTGGTAGTCCGCTAGCAGGTAGTACAGCTCGTTAACCACAGGGGGTGCCGGGGAAGCTCCTTCTGGAAGCGCTGGCACCTTGGAGAAGGAGAAATGCTTTTAACCCTCTGGTGCTCCTCATTTGGGAGTCACACTTGTGATCTTCGATCTTGAATTTTGAGATAATTTCATGGCACTAATTAATATTTATGCAACAATTATGATGAATTTCTGCCCATTAAAATAATTTTTTTTTAATTTTAAATAGATATTTTTATATTACTTTTCAATGAATACAGTATTTCATGTTAAAATAGAGTCAATGCCTTTAAAATCCCATTTTTGAAGCCAGATTAGTGCCATCTGATGGGAGTAAAATAAGAAAAACTTCTGCAATTCCATGGTTTAGCCCATAGATTTCTATATAGTAGAGACCTGCGCAGGACAGATTTTTCAGTCCCGCTCTCGCAAGATTCTGTCCCGCGCAAGATTCTGTAATATCTCCTAAGCTCCACAACATACCAGCATAAATGCTCCCGATAAAATATTTGTTATTTAAGCTAAGCATCAACATTCACATTCACAAACCACTGTTATTTTTAACAGAAAAGCAAGCATGTGCTGCTGCATGCATGGTTTGGCATGCCACTACAGCAGCGCTTCCTTTATTATCACTAAAACTGACATCTCAGTTAATCACGATCTCATAAAGCTCTGTTATATCACATTAAATATACGCACAATGAATCTTTCAGTGTCTACACTTCGTGTGTTAAAATGAGAGGATTCGTGAGCACGCAATTTCAGCACTGCGGTGAGTAGATTCTAACTTAATCACCTCTGATTGGCCATTGTGTTCCAGAAATCAACAGCTGAGTCTGTGATTGGCTACATTGCGCAACCTTTTAAACACGTGTTATAAATAGAAACTATGCCTAGCTTGCGCATGTCAGTCATTTTAATGTTAATATTAGTTGTTCTTTTTGCTTTTGTGCATCAGATAAATAACAATTTATATGTTTTAAACACTTTATGATGGGGACAGGAGAGCTGTCAATCAATAAATTGAAAAAAAAGTAACTTATTTGAAAAAGTAACTCAGATATTCTCTTGTAAATTAAAAAGTAATGCGTTACTTTACTAGTTACTTGAAAAAAGTAATCTGATTACGTAACTTGCGTTACTTGTAATATATTACCCCCAACACTGCATTTAGGCATATATAAACAAGGCAATCGTGCTCGGATCCACGCCACGTCTGATATTACCTGAATAAGTTGCTGTCAGCCTAATTAACAGAGAACTCTGGAGCTCTGAATATATATATATTTAATCAGGTGGAGCAGGAATGAGGGCTTAGATATCGTATAAGTGTGCGTGTTAACAAAAGATTCAGTTATAGCCACAAATAAGCCCATGGAGCTAACTTGAGTCAAATCCCAGAACATAAAGAGATGCACTCTGACCAATGAGAGGATAGTTCCGTTTTTAGTTGAAAACAATGTCATGTAAACACCCCCTCACATGTGGCACATTATGGTACGCTTTGATCCAAACTGACTTAATTAAACTTACTCAACTTTCTTAACTAAATATTGACACTATTGTCTTTAAGAGCTCTTTTACAGCAGAATTTGAATAATCTTCATAGCTGCATTTCCATAACTGATTCCGCTGTTTTCCTGTTTATCTCTATCTCTGTGAAGCTGCTTTGACACAATCTGTACTGCATAAAGCACTATAGAAATAAATGTGACTTGAATTAACTTGAAGCTAAACAAACCAAATTAAGCTCCTGTTTTAGAACAAAGCAAACAACCTACAGGTCTGAAAATGCTACTAAACAAGCCTAGTGATGGATGTCACACATTCTCAATAGCCAATCAGATTATCCACCAGGCCAGCTGTAGCCTAGCTCGTCACCATTTTGTACAGCTGCAGGTAGTCTTTGGGCGGCCGTTTGCGCTTCTCAGCAATCTTCCCCAGCATGTAGTGAATGAGCCACTCCTCCTCATCGCCGTCACAGCGAGAGGCGCTCTGAAAACACTGCGACGCCGTCTCCAACATCGAGTCTCTGCGCTCTTCCATCTTTAAACACAAACAAACAGCAGCTGACACAAATCCTGAAACACAGAGTCTCTTATTTCGAGTTTAACACACACTCATGGCTCTCACGCTCTCAGATGAGTCTTCATCTGCACAAACAGAAGTACCTGTTTGATCAAGTCAGGAGGAAGTTCGTGTTTCCATTGTTTGAGCTGTCTGGAAGCGAAGGAGTGAAAGGCATAGGACATGGTACCATACTCGATCCATAGGGAGAGGTTGGAGCTGTCTATCTCCAGAGCCCGTTTGAAACAGGTCAGCACAGCCAGAGAGTTTTTCCAGATGGGTCCGTCACTCCTGAGCTCATTGGAGTTCAGCTTGTCCTGGATGCGACTGGCGCGTGCCAGTGCCATGCCTGCCCACGAATCAAACCTGGAGAGACAACAGTCACCTACAGCTGAATACATTGAAGGTAAAAACTTCAAACGTAAAACTGTCACAGACCTGTTGGGACACATGCAGATGTCGTGCATGTAGAACTTGATGGCTTTCGACTGCTCTTTGTTTTTGAAGTGGTAGTCCGCTAGCAGGTAGTACAGCTCGTTAACCACAGGGGGTGCCGGGGAAGCTCCTTCTGGAAGCGCTGGCACCTTGGAGAAGGAGAAATGCTTTTAACCCTCTGGTGCTCCTCATTTGGGAGTCACACTTGTGATCTTCGATCTTGAATTTTGAGATAATTTCATGGCACTAATTAATATTTATGCAACAATTATGATGAATTTCTGCCCATTAAAATAATTTTTTTTTAATTTTAAATAGATATTTTTATATTACTTTTCAATGAATACAGTATTTCATGTTAAAATAGAGTCAATGCCTTTAAAATCCCATTTTTGAAGCCAGATTAGTGCCATCTGATGGGAGTAAAATAAGAAAAACTTCTGCAATTCCATGGTTTAGCCCATAGATTTCTATATAGTAGAGACCTGCGCAGGACAGATTTTTCAGTCCCGCTCTCGCAAGATTCTGTCCCGCGCAAGATTCTGTAATATCTCCTAAGCTCCACAACATACCAGCATAAATGCTCCCGATAAAATATTTGTTATTTAAGCTAAGCATCAACATTCACATTCACAAACCACTGTTATTTTTAACAGAAAAGCAAGCATGTGCTGCTGCATGCATGGTTTGGCATGGCAGAATGCGAGCAGCGCGTTTACTTCATCACTAAAAGCTGACATCTCAGTTAATCGCGATCTCATAAAGCTCTGTTATATCACATTAAATATACGCACAATGAATCTTTCAGTGTCTACACTTCGTGTGTTAAAATGAGAGGATTCGTGAGCACGCAATTTCAGCACTGCGGTGAGTAGATTCTAACTTAATCACCTCTGATTGGCCATTGTGTTCCAGAAATCAACAGCTGAGTCTGTGATTGGCTACATTGCGCAACCTTTTAAACACGTGTTATAAATAGAAACTATGCCTAGCTTGCGCATGTCAGTCATTTTAATGTTAATATTAGTTGTTCTTTTTGCTTTTGTGCATCAGATAAATAACAATTTATATGTTTTAAACACTTTATGTTTAGATCATTTCTATTTTGCGGGAGTCCCGCAAATCATTTTATTCTCCCGCATCCCGCACACACACAAGTCTCTTCCCGCCCACACCCGCACATCAAGAGTTGTCCCGCACCGCACCCGGTTACGTTGGGTCCCGCGGTCCTCCCGCAGGAGTGCAGGTCTCTACTATAGGGCCTTTCGCACCACTTTAGTTCCAGAACTAAATGTACAGTACTAAAGTACTGGGACAATTTTGCGGGAACTATTTCCCAGCACCATTTAAAGGGTTGCATTCGCACCGACAGTGTGTACTAAGAAGTGACGTAAGCCGGTCGACAGCGTCGTCATTTGTGCGCGGCGTTCAACAACAGAAACAAAGAAGAACAACATTAACAACAGGAGGATGGAGGACGCTGTGATCGGAGCTGTGTTTTTGTTGTGTCTCGTGGGTTTCCCAATAATGGACATGGAATGTCGACGTATACGTAAAGCTATTGAAAGAACGGAAAGGAGGACTAAGAATCTCCAACGACAACTTACAGTGCTACATTTGCTATAAGTGCCTGCACTTCAGCGTCCGTCCATCTATCGCTGTTCTCCATACTTGCGAAATAAGTTGACACAATGTTTACACTGCGTTTTACTAAAATCGCACCCAGTTCCGGCGGTGCGAAAACACCAAAAAGTGGATAGTTCCACAATTAGTTCTGGTACTATGAAAAGGTTCCCGAGGTGCGAAAGGCCCTAATATAGCTCTATAAAAAAGGCCTATACATTCTCTAATTGTTTTTAGACATAAATGCTTATTCTTATTAAGTTGTGGGTTTGGATATATATTTAGACATTCTCAAAGACAACTTTTTGTTTGAAATGTTGATTTGAAGCGTCAGTTTTTGGATTATTATTACTACAATCAAACCTGAACACAGCGAATGCATTTTGTTACACAAAACATTAAAATTCTATAAAAATGTAAAAAAAAAATGAACAGAAATGTTTTATCAGAGCTTAATCCTTCTGGGTTTGATCTGATTTCAACCTCTTTTTCCAGTTTTCTGACTTGTTTTTGGCTATATGGTTATAGCCATACCAATTCATTTGAGTGTGTATAATTGTGTATGTTTGTGCGTGTCTGTGAGTGTGTGTGTGTGTGTTTGAGTGAGTGTGTCTGTTTTGCACTCTTGATGTTTTAGAGTGTAACCCCTTCCTTGCTGTCCGCTTTTTTACTGCATTGTAGTTGAATTATTGCTTTTATTTTACATATTTGCTGTGTTACAGTCACACCAGTTCATAGGTGTGTGTGTGAGTGGATGTGTTGGTTTGGCACTCTTGATGTTTTAGAGTTTCACCCTGTCATTTCTGTGAACTTTTTTCTGCATTGTGACAGATTTGTAGATTGTACACACAAACATTCTCACAATTTTTGTGTTTTTGTGGATTTCCCATTCATTTCCTATGGTCGGTCATTTTTGACCGAAGACCACAAGGGTGACTATTTTTTTACGACCACTTCGTCTGCTCGAATCATGCCCTCAATTTTTGTGTGCGTTCACATTCCAAATGCCATAAAAGTCACCAAGTTTCGTACAATTCCGATGTAGCTGTGATTTTAAAAAATTCTAAACAGAAAATTTTCAAAAGTAACGAAGAGCACCAGCAGGTTCAGTGACAGATGAACGGATAAAAAAAGATCTAGATGAAGGGATGAAAGTCGATGAGCTCCTACCTTCAGAACACCTCCTTCGATATAGGCAGACACGTCATCTACAGAGAGCGTGGGGCCATTGCTACGTGGGATTATTCCAGAAAGCCTTTTAAGCAGGTTGGCAACGTCAGCAGAGACAGTGCTGGTCTTATAGCTGTCAAACTCTGGCAAGGTCTTGGGTTTAAAGTATTCAAACATAAAGACGGCATCATCCCAATGAAGCTCCACCTAGATCAGAGATCGAGAGAGGAAGACACAGAAAGAGACCGGAAGAAAAGAGATGTAACAATATCATGTAATCAGATTCCAAAACAGTTTTATTTTAGTGTTATTTATATATTATTATAGTATTATTTTAATACATTCAGTTTTCATTTAAATTTTAGTTTAAGTTTTAGTTATATTCTTATGTGCTTTTGTCATTATTAGTTTTTAGTTTAATATTTCTATTTATCTTATTTTAGTTTTAGTAATTTTAGTACTTCAAGCATATTTTATTTTAGTTAGTTGCCAATGCAATATTTCAAATTTTCATTTATGCTTTTTTGTGTTTAAATATTTTAAATTCCGCAGGAAATGCAATCAAATAGAATTTGCATTCTAACAGATATACATGAAGGAAAAACAGAAAAAACATCCAACCCAAAAGTGCTGTCCAACAATAAGGGCAGGTAATGTAGGCATCAGAAACATAATAATCACAAGTTTGCAGAAAAGAAATAAACGGTCTAATTTTTTCAAATAGCAAAATCTTGTCTTTTAAGGTATACCTAATTCTTATGTACCCATCAGCTTTGTCAGACATATTTTAAATGTTGGAACTTTTTTTTCCCCAGAACAAAAGAATAAGTTTCTTGGCAGAGATTAGCCCATGTCGTTGGACCTGTGTAAGTCTCAAAAATTCTTCCGAAACTCCAAATATGATTAATATAGGATCTGGTTCAATACGTGTGCCCAAAGTATCTGGAAAAACCTGGACATTTTTGTTCCAAAAACTTTGGACACATAACATATGAATGGGACATGTTGGAATCTAAAGATGGACATTTATCGCATAATGGCAATACTTCTTGAAAATATTTTGTGTAATTTACATTTGGAATAATGTAACGTCTGTGAAGTGGTTTAAACTGAATAAGACAATGTCTTGCATTAATGGAACATTTGTGAATAAGTTCAAGACTTTGTTCCCAAATTTCAATAGGAATTTCCATCGCAAGTTCTTCTTCCCAGGCAGATTACATTTTCTCCATAGACAGACTTTTCACCTATTCTAAAGCCTTGTATAGGAAGGAGATGGTACTACCCTCACTATGACTTCTTTCCAAGAAAGCGTCCAGATACATAGGTTTAGCCGTGATATAATTAGAAATGCTACATTTGTGCTTTTTTAAGTTGAATTTTTTCATCTAATAATTAAATTTTACTTAATTTCAGAATTATGTTAACAAATTTTATTTGTAATAGTTTGTCAACAATGATCACACTGGTTCAACATTAACTTATTGCCACTAAATTAACCTATTAATCTGCCTGCGAATTGAGATTTTACAGCCATATTTCTTACCAACCACAAAACTGTACTTTTTATAATTTACATACATCTATAAAATATTTTTATTATTATTACATGACTTTTTCCCCCAAATATTTAACGTTTAAATTATTTTAAATAATAAAAAATATAATAATAATAATAAAAAATATAAATGATTTTTATTATAATTTTATTGAATTATAATTTTGTCTCTGATAATGGGATTTTTTAAAAAAAATGTAAGGTTTACCATCAAATATTACCATGCTAATTTTGGTCACTGATTTTGCTAAACACACATGAATGGAAAGTTTTAACTGGGGATTTCTGTCAAACTGTAAGTGAGAACAGACTCTTTTGTCCCCCTCAGGAGTAACAGCAATATGAACAACGGTAGGCATGCAGTAATATCCTGCTATTTATTTCATTACCAGAAGTATTTGACTACACTGACGAGTGACAAAAGACAGAATTATCACTTATCCATCGGAACAAAAAGCAATTTCCCCGCTGGCATAATGACAATGTTTTTGGGGAGAAATGAGCTGAATGTTTATAACAGGGCCACAAAAATTGTGCTGATTAGTTTTGATTTATAACACTAACAATGCAGCATCAGATAATTCATTCAGAGAAGAGAAAGTGGCTGGAATTCAGGATGAGTTATGGATTGAAACTAACTCATTTGTTCAGAAAGCCAGGATCAAGTAATTTGTCCTGATACTGATTTTAAAAGTAGGCCGACAGCATTTGTAATTATGCTCCCTTTTATGCGCATGTATCCTTTGTGGATTCCACACTAAATTTACCCAAGATTAAAAAACAAAGTCAAAAGAAATGTTGATTTTAAACCTATAATTGTATTTTTAATTGTAATTCTCTACTGTGAAGTACTGATTTAAAAAAATTAATAAAGAATAAAAACTGATTATTCAGCTGAGAAGCATGCAAATTTTCATAACCAAAGCTAAAAACCAAAATCACCACCAACAATGACTTTTTTTTTGGTTTGCTTTTTCCTTTTCCTCTAATGGTGCTGTACCTCACAGCTCCACAGACTAAGCACAGTTCAATATTTGCTAAGTGCCTGCAAAAACATAAGCAGAATCTACACCGCATGGTCTGTTTCCGCCAGAGACACAGAAACAGATGCAGAACACCTCGGTGTTGTACTTTGGTGGTGTGTACAGCATTTCCTGTGTACAGAGCAGTGCTGTATAATGGGTGTGTGTGGGTGGCTAAATGATCAATGTGCCTCCTTGCTGCCAAAAGATAATCAATCAGTGAATTATTGCTGAATCAGACTGCCAGCTCATCCTATCCGACATCCACCTACCTTCATTAGCACAGGGACAGTTCTCCTTCTCTCTTTTTAAAGCATCTTAGATCTTCGAGACATCAAATAAAAATGTACACAGGAGACTTTGAAGTCATGTTTAGGAGTAACTAAAGTCAACACTGTTGACTTAACTACACTTTCTGGTAGCAGAACATAGCCAAGCTAAAATATTACAGCTTTATTTACAGTTTTTTTCCAACACGTAATGGGTTAGCTTGACAATACTCATTTATGACACATTATTTTGCATAATTCAGTGCTGTTCAGTGGGCAGAAAACATTGAGTGATCGCACAAAGTATATTGAGCGAGAAGAGGCACAGAAAAGCAAGTGAATCAACCACATTCTCCTTCACTGTCTTCGCTATCAAGCAGAATTTGGAAGTTGATTCAGTTTAATAAATTCAATCAGATGGATTGATTTTGTGAAAAAAAGTCTGCTTAAGTCTAAATTGTTCCTAAATCAGCACAGACCTGGCAAAATATTACATTAATATCTGGGTCACAAATCAAGAATGCTCTGCCTGTGCCCCAAAAAAAAGCAATTCAGCCTTTTTGATTTGCGTAGACATAAACTAATTTAAGCGCATTACCATCAAAAACAGAACTAATGAAGACTCTTATGTTCACTTTTACATCCAACTACAAAACACCTGCATTGCTTAAAAGAAAATGGCAGACAGTGTACAACTCGCTGAGGGCGGAGATATGCTAATATAGGACAGTCCGGCAGTGGTTGTGGGCGGGGCCTGAGCAATATGACGTCATTCTGCTCAGAAAATCAAAACGGCTTGATAATTGAGACTTTTTAGGTTTTTTGGTGGGTTAAAAAAAAAAAAAAAAAGGAGAGAATGGATTTTTATAGGGATGCTCCGATCAGGATTTTTGCAGCCGATACGGAGTACCGATTTCTTGTCATGGTGATCGGACGATACCGATGCCGATTCTGATGCTTCAAGCTTTGTATAGATGGTTTCATTGGGTTAACTTCCGGTCTGTGTTTGTTTATCAGTCTGGCTATGGTGCCGGCTACAGATGCAGTTAAAGTTAAGGTGATGATCAGACTGAAGTTGGGCTCAGGTGGTTGTGCTGTGGGACGTGTTTCCCATACATTTATTTATTTGTGGCGCTCACCACAATATCAAAACTGACCGATTTTCCAAAAGGCTTGGTTGAATAAACATGAGCACGTACTGCACGTTTAAAAATCAAGACACGTGTTTTTATATCACTGTATTTCTGAAGGAAGACTATCTTTAGAACATTTTCGATGTCATTTTCATTTCATCTTGCATGTTATATGCCTGATAAAGCGGTGTACAGCTGTTACTGGGGAAACCTCTGTTTCTGTTCCGTCCTCCACGCTGAGACAACTCACAAAAGACTATTTTTAACCAAGCAGTGCGGAGAGCCGCTTCAGAAACGTGCCGCGGCTGGCTCATAAACACAAGCACTGACTAGAGCTGCCGCGATCAGCTCCGGTGGGCGTGGAGCCGTAACGCACCGCAGACGCATGCAGTGAGGGGCAGATCAGCTCTAACGTCACTGAATCTGCTGTTAAAAATGAACCATCTATTCATCATGCAAAACATACATGACAAACAGCAAATTTTTCATTGATTCGCGAAACGTCATAGCATTGCCACACCCGATTGCCACACGCCAAATCATTTATGTCCCCACGCATCATGTACGTCGTCACGCGTTGACGTAATCAAATTGCGATCGGTTCCTGAGATCGGCCAAGTTGGTGATTACCGATCGAGTCATAAAATATGATTATCGGCCGATACCGATCTCCAGCCGATCGATCGGAGCATCCCTAGATTTTTATCATTGTAGGGTGGTTGTGTCCACACACTGCTGAGACACATTTATATGCAAACACCACGTAAAAGTGAGCTTTGCATCCGATGCCCCCTTTAAAGGGTTATTTCACCAAAAAATGAAAACTCAAGTCATAATTTACCATACTTGCTTGCTACAAACTTATTGGTTCTTGCATGTCAAACAAGCAAGTTTGTGCTTACGTTTACCATATTCGATGTTTATATGTGAATAAAAAGCCTATCTTTTCATTATATAAAGTGATCATGTCTCTTCAGAAGACATGATTAAATCACTCAAGCAAGTTCACATGGATTATTCTTATGATGAAGCTTGAAATTTTCAGTTCGTGTGGAGTTTCAATGGCTGGACAAGAATTATGAGAGAATATTACAAATATATTCATTTAAGTTCTGTCGAAAAACAAAAGGCATTTGGGTAAATCATAACAATTTTCATTTTTGTGTCAACTATCCCTTGCTGCTAGCATTAAGCTTAAGAGATTAATGCTTGCATACAGAATGGACACATGCTACGCACCCTACCTCAACTCACTCTTACAGGTCTAAATCCCCTCCAGAAGCCTGAGGTCGGTGAATGTGAGGTACCATGTCATATTAAATTATTTTCCAGAACCTTCTCATTCACTGTTCCTTGTTGGTGCAATGCTCTTCCTAACAATATCCAGACAGCTGAAATCCCTGACAATATTCAAGAAATAGTGTAAGACTCATCTCTTCCATGAGCACTTCATGGCATCCTGCTGAATCTTAAAAAACCCTTCTATGCTGTCACTATTTCTTATATTCCTCGCTGTCCCAGCTTGTACTATTCTAGACATTGGTGATACTTTGTATTGCTAGCACTTCTCATATTATTGCCTCGTTAAGATTAATCGCTTGTTGTGTTGCTCATTTGAAAGTCTGCTAAATGAATGAATGTAAATGTAAAACAACATTCAGTTTCACTTTGTTATGTGACATATTTCCAAGCGAAGCAGGACAATATACAGGGTTTTATTAGTGATGAATACTATTTTACTTTGTCTGCATTGCCTTGGTTATCTGAACAGAAAAGTTTTCAGATGCAGAGTAGGTTTTGATGAAAGTTTTTGAAAATCTTTTTTTATCTTGCATATACTGATGAATTGTGCACATAAGTGACTTTCAGAAAGTTAATTGTGTAAAATATGCTCATATAATGTCATTGTGAGTGTGTTACCTGTGGGGCAGAATGCTCCTCCAGGTATCGGGCTTTGCTCTTCTTGCTTGGGTAAGCATACAGGCAGAAGAAACACTGCTCAAGTGCCGTCTCCAGATCTTCTTTATATGGCAGATTCTCATGTCCTGCGAGCTTCTCCCGCAATACACGCACCTGAAAACAGATACATGATCATTAGACAGCAGGTCTACATTATTAAAGCAAAATACTGTTAAATGGTGCTGTGCATTACTGTTTCAACTAATGTTCAAAAGTTTGGGGTCAGTTTTTGTTTTTTATAATATTTAATATAATATACAGTGGGTACGGAAAGTATTCAGACCCCCTTAAATTTTTCCCCAACTAAGCAAGCCAGAGGCGACATTAGTGACTGTTTCTATGGGCCGCGGGAATCTACTTATATATCTCTATGTCTGCTATGCCAGAGCACGTACACGCGTCAAATGTTGTGAACGCGCTCAGGACAGTTGGACATTGCGGTGGATCAGAGGTAAAAAATTATATAAATACTGTTCAGTTTCTTGCACAGACCGATCGTTTCGTGTCTTAAGACCTCAATGTATCGTCACGAGCCGCAGGGTTTAATTTGGTTGTCGGTGTATGTTTTTTTTTACTCTCAAAGCCGTGGAGCCCATTGACTGCCAATATATGAATGACAGACTGCAACGGTTTGAGTTAAAAATCTTCGTTTGTGTTCTACTGAAGAAACAAAGTCACCTACATCTTGGATGCCCTGGGGGTAAGCAGATAATTTACATCAAATTTTCCTTTCAATTATCCCTTTAAGGAATGATTAAAATGATTCACAGTCAGACAAACATGTGTCGGCATGATATTGAATCAGACTCACAAAAAATTTGAGTAAAGTGCCATCAGAGTTGCAGCACCAGCAGCGACGGCCCAGGTATTCATGCGCTGTGTTCAGAAGCATGAGGGAGGAGGGCAGCAACGGAGTATCATCCTCTACAGAACATAAACACACACAGCTGTGTCAACAACACTGTGAAACACTACGACATACTAAGATTATCGCAACACTGAAATTATGTTATCTTTCTTTATTCATACCACCATCATCATCCTCATCTGCGATGTGCTGCCGCAGCATGCAGTCAAAGGCTGCCTCTTCCTGTTTGATGAGGCGGTACAGCAGAATCCATGGCAACAGCGATGAAAAATGAGCCTCTTTGGGGTCATCAGGTAAGACCATGCTGTTGGCTATCAACTAGAGAATGAACACAAAAACAGCAGGTAAAAAATTTGAAGAATGATCATGTAAACAGTAATATTGTGAAATAGTATTATAATTTAAAATAACTGTTTTATAGCCATTCCTCCGGTCTTCAGTGTCACATGATTCTTCAGAAATCATGCTGATTAGCTGCTCAAGAAACATTTCTTATTAATATGATTGTATAGCAACAAACACGCTCCCATGAATCCACAACACTGAAATTATGTTATCTTTCTTTATTCATACCACCATCATCATCCTCATCTGCGATGTGCTGCCGCAGCATGCAGTCAAAGGCTGCCTCTTCCTGTTTGATGAGGCGGTACAGCAGAATCCATGGCAACAGCGATGAAAAATGAGCCTCTTTGGGGTCATCAGGTAAGACCATGCTGTTGGCTATCAACTAGAGAATGAACACAAAAACAGCAGGTAAAAAATTTGAAGAATGATCATGTAAACAGTAATATTGTGAAATAGTATTATAATTTAAAATAACTGTTTTATAGCCATTCCTCCGGTCTTCAGTGTCACATGATTCTTCAGAAATCATGCTGATTAGCTGCTCAAGAAACATTTCTTATTAATATGATCGTATAGCAACAAACACGCTCCCATGAATCCACACGGACCTGTATGAGGTTGTTGGCGAGGCGCGGTAGGTTTGCGGGTCGTGGGGTGTGACTGAGCAGCTCAGGTTTTTCAGTGATGCAGCTTTCGACGCCCTTCAGCAGGGCCGTGACAGTGGACACCCACTCCTCCTTGGCAGAGGGGCTGCTGGGTAATCCAGAGTTCAAGTGCTGTATGGCCTCATTGAGAGACACTTCAGATGTCTCGAGGCAGGAGCTGTAGTCTTTCAGCCGCAGCAGGGAGCTCTGGGGAGAGAAAAAACAAAGACGGATGTGGAGTCAACAGGTTAAGTGTCTGAAAACGCCACACTTTTGTAGAATTGAGGGTTGAGGATATGTTCAGTCAGATTTAAGACAAATGGGATATTGCACGCTTTGAGTAAAGCTACTCATTATTCCCATAATAACTAGCTTTTAACATGCTCGCTCTATCATTTTGAGCTCTGATATAAATTGACCTGATCCACACAAAGTATATGAGAAAAATATGATGTGTTTATGAGACAATGCGGTAACACTTTACTTGAAGCCCATATATACAGCAGAAAAATATTATTCATAATGCCTAATTATATATATTGCAATGTATTATACACTTCCTTTCAAAAGTTTGGAGTTGGTAAGAGACTTCTTTCAAACATTTAAAAAGCCTGCATTTATTTGATCAAAAATAAACTAAAAACTGTAGCATTGTCAAATATTGTTACAACATAAAATAACTTTTCTATTTGAATATATTTTAAAATGTAATTTATTTCTGCAATGGCAAATTTTCATTACTCCAGTCTTCAGTGTCACATGATCCTTCAGAAATCATTCTAATATGCTGATTTGATGCTCAATGTATCAACAGATGCATTTTGGATTCTTTGATTAATAAAGTTCAAAAGAAAAAAATGTATACAAAATTATAATTTTTTATAAAATGCCTAATTATATATATTGCAATGTATTATACACTTCCTTTCAAAAGTTTGGAGTTGGTAAGAGACTTCTTTCAAACATTTAAAAAGCCTGCATTTATTTGATCAAAAATAAACTAAAAACTGTAGCATTGTCAAATATTGTTACAACATAAAATAACTTTTCTATTTGAATATATTTTAAAATGTAATTTATTTCTGCAATGGCAAATTTTCATTACTCCAGTCTTCAGTGTCACATGATCCTTCAGAAATCATTCTAATATGCTGATTTGATGCTCAATGTATCAACAGATGCATTTTGGATTCTTTGATTAATAAAGTTCAAAAGAAAAAAATGTATACAAAATTATAATTTTTTATAAATGTAACATTAGAAATGTCATATTTGATCAATGTAATGTATATATATTTTTTTTATTTCCCGAAATGTTTAGTGCATATTTTCAAAAATAATTGTAAACAGTTATAATACATGATAATACTTTACATACTCATGGTTATGTTATTAAATAAAATTGTTCACACCAAAATTTTAATTGTTCTGCTTGCATATTTCATTTATGTTTATGTTCCTTTAAATAACTACTTCTTTAAAGATCATAACACTTCATAACACATAAAATAAAGCATGACATCATGTTTTTCATTTATTATACTGTTCACAAGGGATAAAGTACTGTCAGCTGGTCATTATCGTAAAGTAAACCCTGACAGAATGATCAGAACCACAGACGCAAGTCATGAATGAAGAGAGGTGTAACATGGGCTCTTTTGGGCTCGTTGAAGACCAGTCGTGCCGCTGCATTCTGAATCATTTGTAGAGGTTTGATAACCTCTACTGATAATACTTTACATACTCATGGTTATGTTATTAAATAAAATAGTTCACACCAAAATTTTAATTGTTCTGCTTGCATATTTCATTTATGTTTATGTTCCTTTAAATAACTACTCCTTTAAAGATCATAACACTTCATAACACATAAAATAAAGCATGACATCATGTTTTTCATTTATTATACTGTTCACAAGGGATAAAGTACTGTCAGCTGGTCATTATCGTAAAGTAAACCCTGACAGAATGATCAGAACCACAGACGCAAGTCGATATCGATACCGATACCTTGACTTCGATACCGGTTCCTAAACGATACTTTTTTCGATACGAATTTTATGAAATCAATTTTAACAAGATTACAGTATCTAAAAATAAAACTTTGGTTTTATTTTTCATCTTGTTGATGTTTATATAAACTCAAAGACTCATCTCCTGAGCCACTGCACAAAGGAACAAAATGTAATCAACACAATAAATCAGTGCAAATAGTTTTAATAAAGCTCAAATAGTCTTCAGTGTACACATCTGTTAGGCTACATTTACACTAGTGTGTGTTCGTATTAAAATGCATAGCTCAAACAGAATCATGATTTCTATTTATTTTCCACTGATTTACTGATGAGCATTAGCAGCTTCCAGCGCTGTCTGCCTGTGTTCTCTCTTCCATGATCGCTGCTCTGACTCAGAGTCAGAGGTAATAACATATTTAATTTCAGCAACATTACATGGTCAAAACACACATTAGATGGCAATCGGATGTTATTACAAACACTCGATGGTGGTTTAAAGTGAGTTTTGAGTAAAAGCGGAATATAAATCTTATTTATTGTCTTATGTAGCATGATGCTACAGTGCGCATGAATTGTCACATAACACACGCTTTCGGTCGTGTTGTATGAACGGACATCTGCATATGATCGGAACTCCACGCAGCTCCCGCGCGACTCTCCATTGGAAATAAATGACTGAATGACCGGTCTGTCGCTTGTCGCTTGTCGGAGATAGTGGAAAGTCGGCTTGAAACGCAGTGGAAACGCTAGTATGACGAGGATCGTTTTCATTTTAAAACATAAACGCACCAGTGTAAATGTAGCCTTACATCTAAGGGGGCTGGGACGCATTCGCACTACAGCCTCACGTGTGCGCCACATCTCTGAGTGTAACCGGTGTAAACTAGTAGGTGTGTTCGAATTGATGCGGACTGACTGTGCAGACCGATCGGTGTATTACAGTACCACGAGAGCTAAAGAGAGCAGACTGCTCCGTACGCTTTCGAATCGCTCTCGCGAATGTCAAACACTGATCGATCTGCGCCGCACCTCTTCTAGTCGAACACACCGGCTAGTGCTGCAGGCTTATTGGCTCACTGACGCTGATGAGATTAACCTCTTAGGTATCGAAATTTGGTACCGAACGATGAGACGTTTTTCGATACTGGATGGTATCGAGGCATTTCGGTCGGTGCCTAAAAAGTATCGAACTCGATACCCAGCCCTACCACTGACTGATGAATAACTGAATATCTGAATATCTGAACAGCACTTAAGACTCTTCTAGAGTTACTCTTGTCTATGAATTCTATGAAACAGAAGTGACAGTATCTTGAGAGATCGATTTCTTTTGTATTGTACCTCCTCTATAGAGATGGCATTGTCCACGCTAAGGTTAGGCAGGAGGACGGTGATTTTTTCCATCTGACTTGTCTGACCTTTCAGCAGACCGACACACATGTCGTAACACTCCAGCGCCTCTTCCATGTCACCCTAAAGCATCACATTAACATTCATGCATACAGGGCAAAAACTTCACAAGTAATCATTATTTAAATGTAAACTGTAATTTCTCTAAATATACTCTTATCTATAAACAAGTCAGCACCAGTCAAGATAATCAAGTGTTTTAATATGATACAATTGGTGTTTTAATTGGCGATTCTGCGTCTAGAAACTGAGCTCCATTACCTGAAAGGCAAGGTATCGTGCCTTGAGCCAGTGAACTCTGATGGCAAAAGAGAGCCAATCGTCTTCAAACAGATCTCTCTGAGAGGAGGCCATGGTCAGAAGGAATATATCTGTCTGAAAGCGGGTCTCTGGACCATCAACGTCCCCAAAATCCCTTCCTGAGCCAGACATGGTCTTCCTCTGAGACACTGTAAATACATGACATTGGTGTGATTCCTTTTCACGATTTGTAAAAAACACAACTGATGTCAAACACAACACAGATGTCTGACTGTTTGTGACGTTCTTACTGTTCTTGCCCTTCATCATGGACTTCTGCTCCAACTGTAGCTCCAGACAGCAGAGACACATCAGCATCATTTCCTGTTATATAACAGACAGTATAGTATGTCTTAGATGTACTGTATATAAAAGCACACTGTGGTCAGACCTGCAAACATCTATTACATGTGACTGATATGTACATGTAATTGAATAGTTGAAAAATATTCAGTTGGGGGAAGTCTTGGCCTAATGGTTAGAGAGTCGGACTCATAACCCAAAGGTTGTAGGTTCGAGTCTCGTACCGGCAGGGATTGTAGGTGGGGGGAGTGAATGTACAGCGCCCTCCCCCCCCTTCAATCAAGGCCCCGACCCCCCAACTGCCCCCGGGCGCCGCACCATAAATGGCTGCCCACTGCTCCGGGTGTGTGTTCACTGCTGTGTGTGTGCACTTTGGATGGGTAAATGCAGAGCACTAATTCCGAGTATGGGTCACATCCTCAACTGTATATTTTACTTTGTTTTAGAGTTACCAGTTATTTACACCTAGGAAATAACTGGTATTCATTTAAGTTATACAAAGTGAAATTCTTCAAGTAAATATAAAAAGTGTGGTTGACAAGGATAAAAATAAATATATGAATCAGGCACATCTACTACAATTTAATGAAATATTAGCAATATGCACAACAAAAACATTAAAAGTTTGAGGTCAATAAGATTTGAGTTGTTTTGAAAACATGAATAATTCACCAAAGATGCATTAAATTGACACTAACCTTCAAAAGTTTGGGGTCTGTAAGATATTTAATTTATTTATTATTTTTAAAGAAATTCAGCAAGAACGCTTTAAATTGACAGCAAAGACTTTAACATTGTCACAAAAGATTTCTATTTCAAATAAATGCTGTTTGAATGTATGTTCATCAAAAATACTAACATGTACCACAAAAATACTAAGCAGCACAAATGTTTTCAATGTTGATAATGAGAAGAATTGTGTTCAGAACAGCAAATCAGCATATTAGAATGATTACTGAAGGATCATGTGACACTGAAGACTGGAGTAATTATGCTGAAAATTCTGACAATTTTTTTTTACTTTAAAGTGTAATAATAGCATTATTATTAGCTTAAGATAAACGGTTTTCTTCATTCAATTTCGCTTCTGGTCTTGTATGTTAATTGTATAGGTTCATTTACATAACAGAGAGTGTCTGTGACCTAGATTTTCCTAAAAACACTCAATAAGTTATCGGTCTCTGTCTGATTTTCAGTAGACCCAATGGGAGAAATACACCAGGTTCAGGTCAAGTGCCATGAGGAACAGAGTTTTGTTTCCAGGCAGGTGCAAGCAGTATGTGTGCCAAATGATCTCCTGCTGAGCGAAAAAAATCCTTTAAGTGAATACGTGTAGCTATTTCCTTCTATGTGCTGATGAATAAACATGCTTCCAAGTCGTTCTTTTGCTCCTACAACAGTTTTATTTCAGTCAGTCCCACTTATGCATACTACTGGAATAATAATGTGTTTAGCATTTGGCAAAAACACTCCAAAAAAAAACATTTTTTAGAATCTCAAAATGCTGAAAAGTATTTACTGAAGTGCATAGAAGAACTATAATTCCAAAAGCTTTCTAAATGTGAAAATACATTAAAATGCACTTTTTTTTACTCTCAACAACAGTTTTATTTCAGTCAGTCCCACTTATGCATACTACTGGAATAATAATGTGTTTAGCATTTGGCAAAAACACTCCAAAAAAAAAAATTTTTTTAGAATCTCAAAATGCTGAAAAGTATTTACTGAAGTCCATAGAAGAACTATAATTCCAAAAGCTTTCTAAATGTGAAAATACATTAAAATGCACTTTTTGCACTACACAGACAGTAGCCAAAACAGGTGTGCACGTGGAAATCTCCTTTACTTGCTACTAAGTGCCTCAAACAAAACCATGAATATCTTTCAAAGTTGTACTGGCACGAACCTCGCAAACAGGCTCACCTTTATGTGCTGGTTGCTGGAATCTCTGAGCAGTGGATTGGGCAGGCCAGCGCTGTGTTTCCTCCAGCAGTTGAACAGATCCAGCACCACTGTGCTGAGGCCCGCTGGCCACTCCTCCAGAAACTTCTGCCCCACCACCTTCAGATACCGCATCATCAGCTCCAGGATGCCGCCGTTCTGCATGTTCGCCAACAGGAACGCGTGAACGTCCTTCCGCTCTGAGGAACCATGAAGAACAGAGAGAACAATTAAAGGTCCACTGAAGTGCCTTGAAAAACGCAGCATTATGCTATGTGGTGACGTAATTTCAACTGAAACAGGAAGACAGGGTGGGACATATCGAGCAGCCCCAACCCCCTTTTAAATAGCCAATAGCATTTCAGCTTGGGCCAGAGGCCTTTGAGCTCGGTAAAGCCGCATTTGACATCTTATGACAGCCACAGTCTAATAGATTAGCCCTTTAGATTCAATATGAAACTGTTACTAAAGCAAAACAGTGATTATAATGATGCTGAGGATGTGTAGTTTGAAGATTGTGTAATTTATGTTGGTGCAGGACACCGGTGTAATCTCTTCTACTCGTTAGTGCCGTTTGTCTAACCGTTTCTCCTCCTAATCTGATCCAAATTGCTATACAATACAGCATTCTGTGTAGAATTCAAATTGGTCCGATACATTTTTATGGTATGTGCAACTCTGTGATATCGTGTCTCTGGACCGGAGCAGACTGTGTGCGCGCTGCGGCGGTTCACGTACACAACACGAAACCAGACTTCTTTCGACCCAATGGAAAGCATATTTACACTGTCTGAATCGTTACTTATTCCCCATATAGTGCACTACGTGCCATTCAGCATACAGAAAATACTACTTTGGTGAACAAGTGACCTATTTCAGCCACAGCTTCAGCATCTATTTATAGTGTAGGGGGCGGGACATTTCAGTTTCTAGAGAGCATTTGATTGGACAGAAAGTTTGACGAGAAGCTGAAGTGCAGGGTGACGTCATCAAAATTGTTGATCCATATTGCCGGAAGCGAGAGACTGTAAGTTTTGAATGCTTATATCTTCTAAATGCGAATTTTGTCATTGTTTTGGAGCACCCTAGCTACTAGATAACCTTAAGACTAACGTATTCATGCTAAAAAACAAAAAAAACTTCGATTCTGATTTCATGGGGAGTTTAAAAGAGAAGCATAAAGAATTAAAATGGTGACTAAATAAGAAAACCTCAGTTTCTGTACCTGTCTCCATAGAGACGATGTACTCGGAGGAGTTGGATCCGCGGTTCGACTGGGAGTCAAGTTTGCTGTCACACTGTGAGCCCATGTTACTGAGACTCTCCTCATCTTCATCATCTTCAAACTTTTTCAATCTGGAAATAAAGTTCAAGTCAATGTGACAAAGCAAGACTTTTTGAGAAAGTTCCTGACTTTCTAAGAACATGATTGATGTCTAAAATACAACTATGTGCAGCAAGACTTCAGTCTAATGTGTTTTCACTGCTAGGATTCACTCAAATGACAAAACAAAAATAGAAACCACATGACCAACAAAACATCTTATAGTGCATTGCTTGATATGGTCAGAGCAGGTTAGAACAAAAGCCCTGAATAGATAAATATTAAAATGAACACCTAGAGGGGAGGAATTTGAGCAGGAGTTCTTGGAAGTCAATCTTCTCTTCTTTCTTGCATCTGGTGTTGCGGACACGTGCTGAGCGCCTCTTCGCCGTCTCTACGGTGTCCTCTACCACACGTTTTCTCTTAGTGCCTTTTTTCACTTTGTCATTCAAGGCAGCGTCCAGAGCTGTAGGGTGAAGAGCAATGACATCATCAGTGTCATATGTGTCAAAACTACTGAAAACAAATGCTAAAGTGACTTGATGACCCCAATCTTCTGAACAGTAGTGTATATATGCCAAATTATGTATACAGTGTCAATTTAATATGAGTTTGGTAGCCCACACAATCAAAGTGCATTTTGAAAATAAATACAGCAATATGTAATGCACTAGATTATTAAACAATTCTTGTTCTTGGTCATAGTTAACTTGCGTTTCTTAAGCTAACCGCTTTTTTTTTTTACTATCAAATAGTAGGAACTTAATTCAGTCTCAAATGTCAACAGACAATCTGCTTTGTACTCCAGAATCAAAATGTCACCACAAAAAGATAAAAAATGCCTTAAAATAAAAATAGTCCCCAGCACGCTCCCTGTGCAAGTCGGTGGTCACGTTGGTTATGTTGACGGAAGTTAGCCTATTTTCAGGCGCTGCGTAATATCATTGCGCCTGCTGCACACATGGTACGGCAGCAAAGTTCCTTGATTATTACGCCGGAATGAGAGTATAGTACCTAGCCATATCGGTCTAGAAAATCACAACTTTTTATTTTCCGTCAGACTTAGTACACGATATAAGAAGAGTCAAATTTTAAATAGGAAAAATATCGAAACTCTTTTGGTAATTTTTGAGCGAGATGATTACATCAGATTCAATGATCTATGCTAAGCTACAGCTAAAAGTGCTACCTCGAGACCCGGAAATCGGCTGAATGGATTCGAAAACGGTAAAACTCAACTGTTTAACTCTAGGGGAGTTGGAAAATGAGCCTATTTTCAAAAATAGTGGAGTGTTCCTGTAAGTTAGTTAGTTTTATTTTATTATTAATTTTTGAAGGCACTTTTGATCTTTTTGTGATCGGAATCTTCTCATCCAGAGCTCTGTAACATTACAGGTGAGAGACTACATATTTATGCATGCGTCATGTCTACATTCACACTGACCAGCAGTAGTAACTGTGGTAACGGCGGCATCCTCAGTTCCATTGGCAGCAGTAGTAGTGACTGTGGGTGTAGTGGTGATCTCAATGACGTTCTGGTTCTGCAGCGCTCCTGCATCAGTGCTGGGCGGGGCCTGCAGCTGGACAAAGAACTCGGTGGATGGGTGCAGACTGGCACTCGGGCTACTGGGACCTGGAGGAGGGGCAGGGGGGGCCTGAGGTACACTGACAGGTATGGGGGGTTGAGGGGGGTCTGAAGCAGCAGTGGCAGGCGCTGGAGTGCTGGTGGGCATTTGCACGAGGCAGTCCGGGTCACGGTACATTGACAGGTCGATGCGGCGGCCGAAGTCAGGCCGTGGGACCAGGCAAGCATTCTGGTGTTTGTACATGGCCAAGAAACTCTCCCCAACGCTCTTCCACCTATACGGATAAAATACATCACACAGATATACAGCAAAATAATAAATATTTACATATTCTCAATACAATACATATTAATAAAGAAAATATA